AGCCATGTTTTGTGAGTCAGTTACAGTTATGACATGTGCGTACAGCTGGTTCTCAAGCCAGCGGGAGGCAGCAGTGACCGCCTCCACCACCATTCTTAAACTAAACATTGTGTAGGCCAAGCTTATTACACTGTTACATCCATACGCTTTTGCTGTGAACTGCCATAGGCTTCATCTGTCTCTCAACACAACCATCTGTATAGATAATCACATCACCTACTGATTATAGACAATAGTGCACAGAAAAGTGTCAGCACACAGACTTATACATGCAGTTGGAGATCGCAGTATGTAGATATGTATGATCTTCATAGCAAATCATCATCATCATCATCAGGTGCCTTGCCGACTGGCGTGGGCGATCATGCCTCTCCACAATCTGCGATCTCCTGCAGCATTTAAATTTATCAGTTTGTGTGCTGACACTCCTCAATGCCATGCAACACAACTGTCAAGAATCTTCTCTCGTTGCCTTCCTCTATCCCTCCTTTGACAGATCTTTACAGTGGTCACAACATGTTCCATTTTTTCTCTTCTCATAACATAGCCAAAAAATGATGACTGTCTCCTTCTGATGCAAATCAGCAAGTCATTTCTTAAATGATGAAGCATTTTTCTCTCTCTCTCTCTCTCTCTCTCTCTCTCTCTCTCTCTCTCTCTCTCTCTCTCTCTCTCTCTCTCTCTCTCTCTCTCTCTCTCTCTCTCTCTCTCTCTCTCTCTCTGTGTGTGTGTGTGTGTGCTTGCATGTGTGCGTATATGCCTGCATGCATGCATGCATGCATGTGTGTGTGTGTGTGTCTCTTTCTCTCTCTCTCTCTCTCTCTCTCATGCACACATGCGATGTGCACACACACAGACACACACACAGACACACATAATCACAAGCTTGTTTTATTCACTTTCATTATGCTTTCTGAGCACCTTGTTGTTGCATTCATTGTTCTTGTAATTGGTTTTACAAAAATGATTTGTAAATGGTTCTTGATAACAGTTGTGTTTTAGTGGGCATGTTTAACTACTTAATAATAATAACACAAACAGTAAAGCAAACGTAAATAACCCTTTCCCATGCCCTCAGACATATTTCAGTTTCTGAGACAAGATGCTGTTTACTAGCCAATCTTCATTGAAGATGTCTCTGCTTTCTTTTAGGTCTATGGTATTCTGAGAATATTTCTGTAGCAACAGTTAGTAAATGAGCAGGAAAATTTTTTATTAAAGCACAGAGTTCAGGTTCCATTGGTACAGATAGTGATCCTATTATATGTCCGTCTTGCCTTTCCTGTGAGAACTGAGTGTCGGCTAGATTGCCTGGCCACTTCAGATCATCGTAGACATCCTTTGGATGCTAACTAGCTGGAATCTCCGAAGCCATGTTTTGTGAGTCAGTTACAGTTATGACATGTGCGTACAGCTGGTTCTCAAGCCAGCGGGAGGCAGCAGTGACCGCCTCCACCACCATTCTTAAACTAAACATTGTGTAGGCCAAGCTTATTACACTGTTACATCCATACGCTTTTGCTGTGAACTGCCATAGGCTTCATCTGTCTCTCAACACAACCATCTGTATAGATAATCACATCACCTACTGATTATAGACAATAGTGCACAGAAAAGTGTCAGCACACAGACTTATACATGCAGTTGGAGATCGCAGTATGTAGATATGTATGATCTTCATAGCAAATCATCATCATCATCATCAGGTGCCTTGCCGACTGGCGTGGGCGATCATGCCTCTCCACAATCTGCGATCTCCTGCAGCATTTAAATTTATCAGTTTGTGTGCTGACACTCCTCAATGCCATGCAACACAACTGTCAAGAATCTTCTCTCGTTGCCTTCCTCTATCCCTCCTTTGACAGATCTTTACAGTGGTCACAACATGTTCCATTTTTTCTCTTCTCATAACATAGCCAAAAAATGATGACTGTCTCCTTCTGATGCAAATCAGCAAGTCATTTCTTAAATGATGAAGCATTTTCTCTCTCTCTCTCTCTCTCTCTCTCTCTCTCTCTCTCTCTCTCTCTCTCTCTCTCTCTCTCTCTCTCTCTCTCTCTCTCTCTCTCTCTCTCTCTCTCTCTCTCTCTGTGTGTGTGTGTGTGCTTGCATGTGTGCGTATATGCCTGCATGCATGCATGCATGCATGTGTGTGTGTGTGTGTCTCTTTCTCTCTCTCTCTCTCTCTCTCATGCACACATGCGATGTGCACACACACAGACACACACACAGACACACATAATCACAAGCTTGTTTTATTCACTTTCATTATGCTTTCTGAGCACCTTGTTGTTGCATTCATTGTTCTTGTAATTGGTTTTACAAAAATGATTTGTAAATGGTTCTTGATAACAGTTGTGTTTTAGTGGGCATGTTTAACTACTTAATAATAATAACACAAACAGTAAAGCAAACGTAAATAACCCTTTCCCATGCCCTCAGACAGATTGGGTATGTAGAGCTAGACCTATATTTTTAGACCAATCGGCACCCAGTAGGTGATGTGGTCAGCATCATGCCAGCCGCCTTTGCTTCCCAAGACTTTACCTAGTACCCATTTAAAGATGAGTCCACCTTGGCGAGTTTAAAAAAAAAATCGAGCTTGATGTGGATTTTAACCCATGAGCTTTGGATCTGCAGGTGAGTATTCGGCTGTTACACCCCGATGGTTGCCCACACAAACAGTCTGTTGCACAAATTATTGCTTTGTTATTTCACTTTCCTCGGGTGCATAATACAGAATTTGCATCAACATTTAATGAATCACAAGAATGAATTGTTTCTAACTGAAATACACAAATTAAATTGTCTCCTTGTTACACAGTACACTTACATCTCAACACATAAGTTTACAATTAACCACGCGCAATATTTTTGTTTACATAATGCCGGATTACCGTATTATGGGCAGACCAGAACAAGCCGTTATTCTTCGTCTTAGAACAGGACACGGTTGATTAGGTAGCCACATGTCCACAAAGTTTGAGATTAGCAAATCAGCTATGTACACATGTGGACTGGAATCGGAGATAACAGATAACGTCCTCTAAGACTGTCCCAAATACAACAAATCGAGGCAAAACTTCCAACCAAGAGAAACACCGGTGGAAGCCAAACTTTACCACACTGAATGAATTAAAAAAAGACAGTGATGTTCATACTAGAGACAACATTGCAAGCGAACGAAAGAAGAAGATGAAAGATAATGTAGAATTGCCTTGTCCATCCATCCATCCATCCATTTATGAAAAACAAAACAAAGAATTGACCAGGATTAACCTACTGGGAGCAGCATCGGTTATAATTGTGGTCTGGTTTCTTTGTGAAAATTTTGTTGGCTAAGAATTTTGTATGACACCAAAACTAGTAGCTTGGAGAGGTACTCTTGTACCTAGTGAGGGTTGTTGGGAAGGGGGTCGCCTTGTTACTGCTTCTGCTTTTATCTCCCATCGGCATAGACGCCCTCAACCTACTGTCATTGTGTCATCCTATTCCTTATGCCCTCAGTATTTTCTGGTCACTATCTCAGCTTTGTGCAGATGGAAAAGTGACGGTAGTAATGTAAGAGAGTGGTACAACCAGAGTGGGTTGTAGATTCCTTGGAGCCACCTTCACTTTGGCAATGGCACCTGATTGACTGATTGAGGCTTCTTTATATAGAATCAGTTAACTCTTTCAGTCCCAAGGAACGTTTCATAGGCTCCTACTTTAAAGCCCAGTGAACACAAAATGCGCTGATTATACCTCATTATTTATTACCTCTTGGACCTCTGAAGCTAATGTAATTGAAAAGAAACTCATCATTATAACTATCTGAGACTGCTCTTATAAGCTAGAGGAAGACAAGAAGCAGAAGAAGAAAGTTTTTGTAAAACCTTTGACTGCAGGGCAAACAGACAAGCCTGCTCTTGCATTATCGCAGCCCTAAAGTCACTGTAAAAATATGCAAGGATGTTTTTTATTGTTTTGTTTTGATATGCATGGAAATATTCACTAAATACAAATGGAGCACAGAAATAACTGCTTTCTTGACCTTTGACCAAGAAAGCAGGGGTTCTGTTGACCCAGCCACAGAAAGCAGAGTGACATTATCATAAGGTTATTATGACATAATGCCACCCCCCTTCTTACCCCCCCCCCCCCCCCCTTCCAATATTTATTGGTTTTCACCCAGATGCCTCAGCAACAACAAATATTTTTTTTTAAAGCGAAATCATACCCACCAAGTAGGCAAAATACGCAGTTGCAACTATTACCAAAGCTGTCGTGCATGTGTGTATGTGTGTGTTAGCCACTTCCCAAACATATCCTGTCCTCCAAAACCTCTTTAGGTTGAAAAACCGGCTTTCTCGGAGTGAGTGGGCTAAGAATTGAGCGATTAAGAAGAAGCCCTGTCTGATAAATTTGATGACAACAGTGGTCCAGACATCCCTGGCAGATGCACTTCGACTTTATAAAGGAAACATCCCTAATTAATCACCTTGTATAACAAGCTTGTGGGGAGGAGGAGGGGAAGTGGGTCTATTCTCCTTCCCCTCCCCCACCGCTCCCTTCCTCCCCCCCATCCCCCCCCCCCCCATCAAAATGGGGCCCCAGAACCCACACAGGATATACACCCTCTTCCCCCAATGGAGTCTTTGAAACCGTTCAAAGAGGAAAAATCACAAGAGCTTGATAAAAGCCTACTGTTCTGTTGCTTTGCTCTAATCAGAAAAAATATAAAATAGTCTCATTCAGCCACTATACCTGAAGGGAGAGCTTTATGTTCTAATTGTTATTTGCATCATATAAAATAGCTATTGGCATTGCTCACCACCAAAAGCATTGTTGATGCCATCAAGGGAGACTGACCCAATGACCTTTCTAACCAGCAACAAAGTCGTCCACCAGCCAGTGGAGACCCAGTTGCTGATGAACCCCACCATGTAAGGGACCTTGGAAAAACTCACTGCAAATTGCTTAGAGCCCTGTAAGTTCATAAGTCTTTATTGTATTCACAGAAAAGCCTTCCACTCCTACGTCAGTCCATGATTAAAGGTTATATGACGATTGAAGGGGTCAAGCCTCCACCTTCCGAGATCACAGGGCACATCCAGCCCTCTGTGCAGTCTTCAGCGGCTCCCACAGTAGTAACCCAGCAGGTTATAACGGCCGCTGGCACCCTGACGCAGCGCCCTCTGGTGGCACCAAGACCTATTGGAATTCCAGTTCAGCAGTTGCCAGTATGTACATGTTGTGTTTACAAAGTTGGCGTCTTCGTATAAAATAGATCCTACTCTATGATAACTATTTGAAGTTACCATAACATCCTCATATAAAATAGATCCTACTTTATGATAACTAGTTGAAATTACCATAACATCCTCATATAAAATAGATCCTACTCTATGATAACTATTTGAAATTACCATAACATCCTCATATAAAATAGATCCTACTCTATGATAACTAGTTGAAATTGCCATAACATCCTCAAATAATATAGATCCTACTTTATGATAACTAGTTGAAATTACCATAACATCCTCATATAAAATAGACCCTACTCTGTGATAGGTAGCTGAAATTTTACCATCAGACTCTCATATAAAATAGATCCTCGTCTGTGATAAGCGTGACTAGCTAAAATTATCATGACACCCTCATATAAAATTGTTCCTATTGTGTTATAGGTAACTGAAATTACCATAACACCCTCATGTAATATAGATCCTAGTCTGTGACAGGCGGCTTAAATTACCATAACACCCTAATGTAAAATAGATCCTAGTCTGTGACAGGCGGCTTAAATTACCATAACACTCTCATGTAAAATAGATCCTAGTCTTTGACAGGCGGCTTAAATTAACATAACACTCTCATGTAAAATAGATCCTAGTCTGTGACAGGCGGCTTAAATTAACATAACACTCTCATGTAAAATAGATCCTAGTCTGTGATAGGCGGCTTAAATTACCATAACACTCTCATGTAAAATAGATCCTAGTCTGTGACAGACGGCTTAAATTACCATAACACCCTCATGTAATATAGATCCTAGTCTGTGACAGGCGGCTTAAATTACCATAACACCCTCATTTAAAACTGGTCTTACTCTGTTATATAGTTAGCTGTAATTACCTTAACACCCTTATGTAATATAGATGCTACTTTATTTAAGTCAGCTGAAATTACATAAATCTTCATATAAAATAGTTTCTGCTCTTTTATAGTAGGCTTAAATTATCATATCACCCTCAAGTAAAATATATCCTACTCTGTGATAATTAGCTGAAATTACCTTACCCAAAAAAGGTTAGTTGCTTATTTTTTTCAGGGTGTTGCAGAACTAATCCCAGCATTGTTTGGCTACGTGGTTTTTCTAGGCACATTTTACATTCAGTGGTTTGCCACTGCCTACTGAATGGTCAGCCCTTGCTACCACTGACAAAACCATCGCAAGACAAACCGCCCGCAGCTGGGGTAGAACTCGGCACCCCGGCATTACGAAGCGCGTTCGCAGTGCCTTAGCCACAGACACCGAGAAATTACCATAACAGCCTCAAATAAAATTGGTCTGGCTCTATTATAGGTAGCTGAAATTACTGTAACACCCTCATATAAAATTGGTCTGGCTCTATTATAGGTAGCTGAAATTACTGTAAAACCCTTTTAAAAAATTGGTCTGGCTCTATTATAGGTAGCTGAAATTACTGTAACACCCTAATGTAAAATAGATCCAAAGTATATTTATGTCTGTCATCACTGATGTCCTCATTCAATCTTTGTTGACAGCAGGTGCGTCCATCTCCTGGTCCGGCCAGCAGTAAAGTTGCTGCCATCAGGCACCCCGTGTCTCAGGTGGCAATAGCCCCAGGTGGAAACAAGGTTCTAGTACAGGCTTTTCCCCAACCTCGCCCTCAGTTGATTCAGAACCAAGTACGACCTAAGGTGGCTCCTCGAGCAACTGCACCAGCTGCCCGAGCCATTAAACCTGCCTTGTCTGCTGCACTGGTGAAGTCAGAGCCCAGTAGTCCTGCTGCTGGACACAGAGAAAAGAGGAAATTTGAATCATTGAAGTGAGCATTTGCGTTTGTTGTGTGTTGAATTCTCCATTTGGGTTTCAGGACCCTATTTGAGGGCTTGAGTGTGGGGGGAGGGGGGGTGGAATTGGACCCACTGCCACCTTACAAGCATATTGTAAAAGGTGATGATCTTCTCCTCCTCCCCCTCCTCCTCCCCCTCCTCCTTCTCCTCCTCCTCCTGTTTTACAGTGTACAAGACACTACTACCATTACACTTCTGAACATATGTTTTGTTTGCCTTTTGCTGTTTGTTCACTTTGTATTGTGTTCTGTTTCCCAAATTGTTTTCTTCACCTTGCAGTTGGTTCTATTAAAAGAAAAAGCTTGCTCACTTTTGAGCTCTGATCTTTTCTCAGAATGTTTTGTTCACCTTGCACCGTGTTTGTGTTTCTCAAGTTAATTTGTTCACCTTGCACTGTGTTGTGTTTCTCAAGTTAATTTGTTCACCTTGCACTGTGTTGTCTTTCTCAAGTTAGTTAGTTCACCTTGCACCATATTGTGTTTCTCAAGTTAGTTTGTTCACCTTGCACCATATTGTGTTTCTCAAGTTAGTTTGTTCACCTTGCACCATATTGTATTTCTCAAGTTAGTTAGTTCACCTTGCACCATGTTGTGTTTCTCAAGTTAGTTTGTTCACCTTGCACCATGTTGTCTTTCTCAAGTTAGTTAGTTCACCTTGCACCATATTGTGTTTCTCAAGTTAGTTTGTTCACCTTTCACCATATTGTGTTTCTCAAGTTAGTTTGTTCACCTTGCACCATGTTGTGTTTCTCAAGTTAATTTGTTCACCTTGCACCATATTGTATTTCTCAAGTTAGTTAGTTCACCTTGCACCATGTTGTGTTTCTCAAGTTAGTTTGTTCACCTTGCACCATGTTGTCTTTCTCAAGTTAGTTAGTTCACCTTGCACCATATTGTGTTTCTCAAGTTAGTTTGTTCACCTTGCACCATGTTGTGTTTCTCAAGTTAATTTGTTCACCTTGCACAATGTTGTGTTTCTCAAGTTAGTTTGTTCACCTTGCACCATGATGTGTTTCTCAAAATAGTTTCTTCACCTTACACCGTGTTTTGGTTATGAAACTTTTGTTCACATTGCACTGTGTTGTCTTTCTCAAATTGTTTTGTTCACCTTGTACTTTTTCTCATATTGTTTTGTTCCCCGTGTTCACTTTGCACAGTGTTCTTTTTCACACATTTAATTGTTTACCTGGCACTATATTTTGTTTCTTATATTACTTTGTTCACCCTGTACTCTCTTTTCTTTGTTAAATTGTTTTGTTTCCCTTTGTTTCTCAGCTTGTATTTTGCTCACCTCTGATGTGTTCTGTTCCTCACTAGACTTGTTAACTTACGTTTTTTGTCCTGGCTAAACTTAAACATGTATTTTGTTCACCATGGCCTATTTAGCTTGAATTTTGTTCTCCGTGTACCATGTTCCATTTCCTACTAAACTTGTAAAACTTGTATTCACCTTGCACTATGCTATTCCTCACTAGACTTTTTAAACTTGTGTTTACTTGCACTATGCTATTCCTCACTATACTTTTTTAAACTTGCGTTCACCTTGCACTATTCTGTTCCTCACTAGACTTTTTAAACTTGTGTTCACCTTGCACTATGCTATTCCTCACTATACTTTTTAAACTTGTGTTCACCTTGCACTATACTGTTCCTCATTCAAACTACACTTAAATTTGTGTTCACCTTTCACTATTCCTCACTAGACTTTTTAAACTTGTGTTCACCTTTCACTATTCCATTTCCCACAATACTTTTAAAAACTTGTGTTCACCTTGCACTATTCTATTCCTCCCTAGACTTTTTAAAGTTGTGTGTTCACCTTGCACTATTCTGTTCCTCACTAGAATTTTCTGAGAATGCACTGCTTGTTGTTAACCTGAGCATGTGACATTTTCCCATTGATCAGGGATGGGGATGACGACATCAACGATGTTGCCACTATGGGGGGAGTCAATCTGACCGAGGAATCTAAAAACATCCTGGCCACTACCAATGCTGACTTTATCGGCGCCCAGTCACGATCCTGTAAGGACGAGATTTTTCTGGCAGCTTCGCCTTTGCTCAGAAAAATTTCATCTATAGGTAAGAGGTAGTCTTAAGACAGTGTTTGTAAATGTTTCTAAAATTCTTCTTCTTCTTCTTGGCGTTCCCCAGCTGTAAACTCCGGCAAAAAGTTTTGGTCGTTCATCCACCTCTGGACTTTAAGTCTCGTCCCAGAACATGAGTGTTACATGCACATCAGTTTTACAGATCTGAATTATTTGTATGCAGACTGTTGGTTTCTTATCTCAGGCAGATGCACTCTGACTTTCAAGGAAGCTCCCAGTAGACTCTCATGACATGCTTGGAGAGGTAGTGGGTCTCTTCTTGTTTTCCCCACAATGGGGACTGGAGCCGACACGGGAAGGTTTCTGAAATTGAAATTTTGAAGTATGAATGATTTTGGAAAATATTCACAGTTGTAAAGACCTTTTAAATATCCAATGAGGAAAATAGTTTTCTGATTGTGTATGATGGATAGATCCATTCTGGATTTTTATGGGCAATAGATAGTGGGTTTTTGAGAATTTTGAGAGCATGCATCTTCCCTTTGGCTACATACGGATGTGAGTTGTGGACCATCTCTCAGTCCTTAAGAAAGAGAATAGGGGCTTTTGAGCTGAAATGCTTTAGAAAGATTCTCAGAATATCTTGGAAAAATAAGAGGAGAAATACTGACATCTTGAAAGATCTGAACATCAAGAAAGATTGGCTAATAAACAGCATCCTGTCTCGGAAGCTGAAATATTTTGGTAATTTCAAGCGCCACGACGGATTGGAAAAATTTTTACCAGGAAGGAGGGGGCAGGGGCCGACCGACATGAAGATGGGCACAGGATATAAGTGACTCCTTGAGTATGAAAGTACATGAGGCGGGAGAACTGGCGAGATACCGAGTTTCTTTTAGGCAGACTGTGATGAGAGCCACGCTCTGCAAAGGGCCTGCTACATGATGATAATGAGATAGTGGATAGGATGAGTTACACTTTGCGTAATGCACTGTTGGGTCCATTAGAGTCTTCTTAACTTGGTACAGTAGTACTTCATTAAATTAACTATATAGGGACAAAGTTCGCAGTCAGACAATATGTCAAGATCCTGAAATCCAGGCTGGTTTGGACATGTATGAAGAATGGGAGAAAACTGGCCACTATAGGAGGCATGGGATGCTAAGAACTAGGGATCCAGACCTCCAAGGCGACCCAGGGTCCGATGGGAAGACAACATCCAACAGTCCCTGACTGACAGAGGATGGGAAAGGAATAGAGCCAGAAAGAAAACTGCTGATAGAGAAGTCTGGCGATCTCTCTGGCAAAACTCTACACCCCAAGGTAGAAGTGGACTAATTAAGTAAGTAAGTAAATTAACAAATTGTAGCGCAGCGATACCGATCACATTCATAAGAGAAAGTTAAGGCTGCTGTGATGTGTATAAGGAGTTACTTCATACCTCACATTGGGCACCGGTCATCTCTATGATGGTTTTTATGAAACCTCACACAAGTTCCCAGCCACACACCCCCACCATGCGACACGGAAAATGGCTCACCTTTGTGACCTGAACCGAATTGACAGATAAGGTGACACAGTGCCCCTCGAAACTGTCCGGGAAGTGAACCAGGTCAGCGAATGCTCAATTCAGTCAAATGTGTCAGCCGAAAGGCCTCATCAATATTGCATCTTTTCTAAACAGGCACAACACATTTACAACACTCGGAGGAACAAAAAGTTTTAAAAAAAAATTAGTTGTATTTTTAATAATTCTGTAAAATCTGATTATTTTGACCCTATTGCTTCATTAAATTGACTATATTTTGGTTAATCAAATGTAATCAGATTGATAATTTTGACCATATTATTTCATTAAATCAAGTGTACATCAGTTTGACTTCATTCTGACTAACCGCCTACATATATTACAATATTTTGCATAAGATTTTACTCCAACAGTGTTTTACCACTTTGACTTAATGTGTATGCTGTTGTTTCTTTCCCTCAGCCAAAAAATATGGTATTGATGATGTCAGTCCTACTGTGGTGAATCTCGTGTCGCATGCGTTGCAGGAAAGGTTACGGGATATGGTATCCAAGCTGTCAACCATCGCTGAACATAGAGTTGAGATCTATAAGGTATGTTTAGACCAGGGGGTGTAGACTTTGGCTTGCCGAGCAATTTTTACTGAGCCGTGAGGCTGGTGTGAAATTACCGTATAATCTGCAAATACCCTGCTTGAGCAGACACATGTAGGAATATATAGGAGAGCTTCAGTGGGTAAATGTGTCTGGCCAGAGGTATAGAAATGATGATAATCTTAGATTATCCCACAAAAATATAGTATTTCACGGAAATATGTGTGTTATATTCGTAATGGATGTTTCTGTACCACCAATGACCAGGTTGGTAATGTTAAATTTTGCCCACGGACCATAAAAAGGTTGCCCACCCCTGGCTTAGATCCTCAACCAGCTCATATCAAGCACTTTATAGAATATATTTGAAAATACAATGTTTCATACTGTCATCTTTGTCCCAGGATATGGCAGAGTAAAAGACATTGAAAAGGCTGATCCCTTGCAGGCAACACCACCCTAGGAAAGCGGACCTTCTGTAAACAGAAAGGTCATCATTAGTGCCTAATGAGAGACAACATGCTCTAAAGATCTCAAACTGAACATACTGATATCTTGATGACCTAGATGGGAAGTCTGGATAGGTCAGTCGGAGCAGCATGAAGGGAAAACCACGCAAGAGTCCACAGCTGCTACATCTGCCAGTCCAGACTCAGGAGTTGTCTGTGTAGACACTCTAAAGAACATGCTTAGGAGGAGGAGAACAGAGCACTTAAGGGTATACCTGATGTGCAGTGAAGACGATCCTATAATGAACAATGATGCAATTGGATTTTTTCAGCTAGTTTTTGTGTGAAAATGAGGCGGCCAGTCTTACGCCATGTTGTGTCTTACAACATGCTGTGTAGGTTAGTGTTGCTGTTCGTTTGCTTCCTTGGTGGGTCATGATAACACACCGGCCACTGACTGACTACCCTTCTTCACAAAAAAGGTTTTGGTGCCCAATTTTTTTTATCTGGGTTTCTGTGGTGTCTTTTTCAATGTGTGTGTGGGTATTCTTCTTCTCCTTTTTCTTCTTCTTCTATTCCTTCCGCTCCTCCACCTTCTCCTCCTCAGGGTTTTTTGTGTGTGGTTATAATATTTTACAGGATGATGGCGTAGCCAACTGCAAGCCTACACTTAGTTGCCTCTTAGAACATGCATGATAAAGTGCAGTGCTACTGTTATTTGCTTTCCTTAAGGGCCTCAGGATGATGGCGTAGCCAACTGCAAGCCTACACTTAGTCGCCTTTTAGAACATGCATGATAAAGTGCAGTGCTACTGTTATTTGCTTACCTTAAGGGCCTCAGGATGATGGCGTAGCCAACTGCAAGCCTACACTTAGTCGCCTCTTAGAACATGCATGATAAAGTGCAGTGCTACTGTTATTTGCTTGCCTTAAGGGCCTCAGGATGATGGCGTAGCCAACTGCAAGCCTACACTTAGTCGCCTCTTAGAACATGCATGATAAAGTGCAGTGCTACTGTTATTTGCTTACCTTAAGGGCCTCAGGATGATGGCGTAGCCAACTGCAAGCCTACACTTAGTCGCCTCTTAGAACATGCATGATAAAGTGCAGTGCTACTGTTATTTGCTTACCTTAAGGGCCTCAGGATGATGGCGTAGCCAACTGCATGCCTACACTTAGTCGCCTCTTAGAACATGCATGATAAAGTGCAGTGCTACTGTTATTTGCTTTCCTTAAGGGCCTCAGGATGGTGGCGTAGCCAACTGCAAGCCTACACTTAGTCGCCTCTTAGAACATGCATGATAAAGTGCAGTGCTACTGTTATTTGCTTACCTTAAGGGCCTCAGGATGATGGCGTAGCCAACTGCAAGCCTACACTTAGTCGCCTCTTAGAACATGCATGATAAAGTGCAGTGCTACTGTTATTTGCTTACCTTAAGGGCCTCATGATGATGGCGTAGCCAACTGCAAGCCTACACTTAGTCGCCTCTTAGAACATGCATGATAAAGTGCAGTGCTACTGTTATTTGCTTTCCTTAAGGGCCTCAGGATGATGGCGTAGCCAACTGCAAGCCTACACTTAGTCGCCTCTTAGAACATGCATGATAAAGTGCAGTGCTACTGTTATTTGCTTACCTTAAGGGCCTCAGGATGATGGCGTAGCCAACTGCAAGCCTACACTTAGTCGCCTCTTAGAACATGCATGATAAAGTGCAGTGCTACTGTTATTTGCTTACCTTAAGGGCCTCAGGATGATGGCGTAGCCAACTGCAAGCCTACACTTAGTCGCCTCTTAGAACATGCATGATAAAGTGCAGTGCTACTGTTATTTGCTTACCTTAAGGGCCTCAGGATGATGGCGTAGCCAACTGCAAGCCTACACTTAGTCGCCTCTTAGAACATGCATGATAAAGTGCAGTGCTACTGTTATTTGCTTACCTTAAGGGCCTCAGGATGATGGCGTAGCCAACTGCAAGCCTACACTTAGTCGCCTCTTAGAACATGCATGATAAAGTGCAGTGCTACTGTTATTTGCTTTCCTTAAGGGCCTCAGGATGATGGCGTAGCCAACTGCAAGCCTACACTTAGTTGCCTCTTAGAACATGCATGATAAAGTGCAGTGCTACTGTTATTTGCTTACCTTAAGGGCCTCAGGATGATGGCGTAGCCAACTGCAAGCCTACACTTAGTCGCCTCTTAGAACATGCATGATAAAGTGCAGTGCTACTGTTATTTGCTTTCCTTAAGGGCCTCAGGATGATGGCGTAGCCAACTGCAAGCCTACACTTAGTTGCCTCTTAGAACATGCATGATAAAGTGCAGTGCTACTGTTATTTGCTTACCTTAAGGGCCTCAGGATGATGGCGTAGCCAACTGCAAGCCTACACTTAGTCGCCTCTTAGAACATGCATGATAAAGTGCAGTGCTACTGTTATTTGCTTTCCTTAAGGGCTTCAGGATGATGGCGTAGCCAACTGCAAGCCTAAACTTAGTCGCCTCTTAGAACATGCATGATAAAGTGCAGTGCTACTGTTATTTGCTTACCTTAAGGGCCTCAGGATGATGGCGTAGCCAACTGCAAGCCTACACTTAGTCGCCTCTTAGAACATGCATGATAAAGTGCAGTGCTACTGTTATTTGCTTTCCTTAAGGGCCTCAGGATGATGGCGTAGCCAACTGCAAGCCTACACTTAGTTGCCTCTTAGAACATGCATGATAAAGTGCAGTGCTACTGTTATTTGCTTACCTTAAGGGCCTCAGGATGATGGCGTAGCCAACTGCAAGCCTACACTTAGTTGCCTCTTAGAACATGCATGATAAAGTGCAGTGCTACTGTTATTTGCTTACCTTAAGGGCCTCAGGATGATGGCGTAGCCAACTGCAAGCCTACACTTAGTCGCCTCTTAGAACATGCATGATAAAGTGCAGTGCTACTGTTATTTGCTTTCCTTAAGGGCCTCAGGATGATGGCGTAGCCAACTGCAAGCCTACACTTAGTCGCCGCTTAGAACATGCATGATAAAGTGCAGTGCTACTGTTATTTGCTTACCTTAAGGGCCTCAGGATGATGGCGTAGCCAACTGCAAGCCTACACTTAGTCGCCTCTTAGAACATGCATGATAAAGTGCAGTGCTACTGTTATTTGCTTTCCTTAAGGGCCTCAGGATGATGGCGTAGCCAACTGCAAGCCTACACTTAGTCGCCTCTTAGAACATGCATGATAAAGTGCAGTGCTACTGTTATTTGCTTTCCTTAAGGGCCTCAGGATGATGGCGTAGCCAACTGCAAGCCTACACTTAGTCGCCTCTTAGAACATGCATGATAAAGTGCAGTGCTACTGTTATTTGCTTTCCTTAAGGGCCTCAGGATGATGGCGTAGCCAACTGCAAGCCTACACTTAGTCGCCTCTTAGAACATGCATGATAAAGTGCAGTGCTACTGTTATTTGCTTTCCTTAAGGGCCTCAGGATGATGGCGTAGCCAACTGCAAGCCTACACTTAGTCGCCTCTTAGAACATGCATGATAAAGTGCAGTGCTACTGTTATTTGCTTACCTTAAGGGCCTCAGTAACACTACAACAGGGATTTTGAATCCAGTACCACTTGATGGCTTTTTTTTTTCCCTGTTTGCAAGTTTGGGAACCACTGAATTTTGTTCCTTATGAAAATTGTAGCTTGTTTCTGAAGTTTAGATACACATTGAGGCCCATTTTTTTTTAAATTTTAAAATTGACCTTGGCTCTTAGAGAGACTTAGCCTTAAATGGGTACAGCATAATGTCCTGGGAAGTAAATGAGGGCGTCAGGAAGTTGACCACATTACCTATTGAGTGCTGATTGGTCTATTAAAAAACAATAGGTGGTTTTAAAAGCTTGTTATAAAACAGTGGTGCTTGCATGCTAATACTTTCCTCACATTACTTTGAGGACATTGGGTTTTGGTCATAATTAGATGTTAGAGGTTAGTCGGAGGATCGATTTCATTGCCTTGGGTTTTATCCCACATGGCTCGGTCTCTGTCCACAGAACGGCTGGCCGCCTACTGCGAAATCCATAGCTCCGGTGATGATCTCCATACAAATTGGACACATGAACTGAACAGCGCAGACGTGAATGAACCCATGACTTTCAGAGCGTGAGATAAATGACTTGACCACTTTGCCATTGAGACCCCAAATTTGATGTAGTTTTAATATAGATGTCTATATCTTCAGTGTTTTTTTTTTTTTTAAATTGTGTGAAATAACGGTGTGTTGGGAAATGAACATGCAGGCAGACTGGCTGGATCTGCACAGCTTGGTGGAATACTGATGCATGATAAGGCAGATGTGGTTAGTGCCTTGTCGGAGAGATTGTTCGGAGGAGCAGATTGATCACCACAGTTTGGTGAGATCGATGCAGTTGGGAGTGACGAGAGGTTCTGGCAGATGCTCTAGGCTCAGAGGAAAGGCAAGACGGACGTTTAATCAGAATGCTACTGGCACCATTAGTATCTGAACTCTTCCCTGGCTGCTGAAGATGAAGATGGAGTGCTTAGGGGAATGCCCCGAGTGCTGTGATGTCGGTTCTTGAATCTAATCAAACCAAATTAAAATTGTAAATTGCATCTTATTACCAGCTGGACCCTAGATACGAAGTGGAATCAGAGACAAAACTGAAGTTGAAGTTTCTCGAGGAGCTTGACAAGCTGGAAAAGAAACGTCATGAAGAGCAGGAAAGAGAGAAATTACTTCGGGCAATAAAGGTATGTCCGTTTCCAATCACTTTCTCTCTATATTTTAGCAGGTGTTGCAACCTTTCGGCCTTGATTCTATTTTAAATACTGTAATATCAGGATTGTATGAATAGGAAATGGCAACCCATTCCGACAAAAATAACAGCTTCCTTAATCTGTTAACTCTTTAAGTCCTAGGGTGTTTAGCATCAGAGGTCCAAGGGGTAGTCGAGAGAATTCGAAAATATGTGCATCTTGCATTCATTGGGCTTCTATGTAGTAACTTATAAACGGATGATGTGTTCTTTGGGACTCAAAGAGCCAAAAATAAAGGATGGGGTCTACATTAAAAGTGAATTGTAACATTTCTTGTTGCAGAAAAAGAAATTGTGATCATTCATGAACATTTGTGCACTTTGTGTTAAAAAGTTGTATTGTCAATAGGAGTACAGTTGGTCTCTGGCTTCTGAGAGTTAAAGCTTCAGAAAATGGAGAACTGGACCACAAGAACAAAGTCAAAATCCAGAAAAAGACAAACAACCAGGTCTTTCCGCCAGGGTTTACAGCTGGTGAACGCAAACAACAACAACAACAACAACCTAAGCTTGTCTTTTGAGTTTTCTTGCACAGTCTGTGTTGTATTTAGGACTCCATTGATAAAGACTTTGATAAAACATGTTTAACTGTGTTTGTTTACGTGAGGGCTATTTAAATGGCCGCCCATGGGCCAAATTTGGCCCGTTGAGGCCTAGCAAGTGGCCCACAAATCATTGCCAGTTTTTATTATGTTAATGATCTTTCTATGCTGGGGCTCAGGCCTCTGCACTGTGATGATCCTAATTTTCCAGAGTTTGGCCCCTAAAAAAAGCTTAGTTGAACAGCCCTGTTGTACGTTTTTTACATTCCTTGCATTTAGCTTTCTAGTCACAGTTTGTGTTGTACTTAGTACTGCTTGATACCTGCAAGGAAGCAGATTTGTCTCTCTCTTCTTTGTCTGACTCTTTCTGTCCCTACACTTGTAGTTAAACATCATCATAGCTCTTGGGGTCATTGGAATTCACAGGTGTCACCCACACCAAGGTGGAGACACATCAGAGGGGTGGTGCAAGTAAAGGAATTCACAGGTGTCACCCACACCAAGGTGGAGACACATCAGAGGGGTGGTGCAAGTAAAGGAATTCACAGGTGTCACTACCACACAAAGGTGGAGACACATCAGAGGGCTGGTGCAAGTAAAGGAATTCACAGGTGTCACTACCACACCAAGGTGGAGACACATCAGAGGGCTGGTGCAAGTAAAGGAATTCACAAGTGTCAATACCACACCAAGGTGGAGACACATCAGAGGGCTGGTGCAAGTAAAGCACTATTTTATTGTAGATTTGGAGACGAAGAATAGTTATGAAAACAAATTATTAATTCAAATAATGTGGACACAAACAATACATTGCACTATTTATTGCCAGGCATATTTCGCTTATCTAGTCAGGTGCGTTACTACAGAGTTACATCAACATTAAATGAAGCAAAAAAAACTGCATAAATCCAAACTGAAATGCAAAAGTTTCTTCCAACACATCATGTGTTTTTCTTGGCCTCGGGAAATTCACCGTAGTCTCATGACTCACCAGGGTAACTTCAAATTTACAATAAATTCCATCTGCAAAAATAATTAATTGACCTTAAAAAATTTTTTTTTTTGGGTAAATAGTTGTCTCACATTAATTTTTTCCTCAGAGTCGTTCAAAGAATGAAGATCCAGAGCAGTTAAAACTCAAGCAGAAAGCAAAAGAGGTAAGCATTAACTAGGCTGACGTTATGTTTTTATGGTTAACTAATTTCCTACATACTGGTGATGTTAGCAGTTTGTGGTCATCTTTATATGCATACTCAGGATGTTAGCAGTTTGTTGCCCATTTTATGTGTCCATTTGTGGTCAGCTTTCTGTGTCTGCATATTGATGAAAGCAGTTTGTGGTCAGCTTTACATGTCTGCATATTGATGAAAGCAGTTTGTGGTCAGCTTTACATGTCTGCATATTGATGAAAGCAGTTTGTGGTCAGCTTTAGATGTCTGCATATTGATGAAAGCAGTTTATGGTCAGCTTTAAATGTCTGCATATTGATGAAAGCAGTTTATGGTCAGCTTTACATGTCTGCATATTGATGAAAGCAGTTTGTGGTCAGCTTTACATGTCTGCATATTGATGAAAGCAGTTTGTGGTCAGCTTTAGATGTCTGCATATTGATGAAAGCAGTTTATGGTCAGCTTTACATGTCTGCATATTGATGAAAGGAGTTTGTGGTCAGCTTTACATGTCTGCATATTGATGAAAGCAGTTTGTGGTCAGCTTTAGATGTCTGCATATTGATGAAAGCAGTTTATGGTCAGCTTTACATGTCTGCATATTGATGAAAGCAGTTTGTGGTCAGCTTTACATGTCTGCATATTGATGAAAGCAGTTTGTGGTCAGCTTTACATGTCTGCATATTGATGAAAGCAGTTTGTGGTCAGCTTTAGATGTCTGCATATTGATGAAAGCAGTTTATGGTCAGCTTTAGATGTCTGCATATTGATGAAAGCAGTTTGTGGTCAGCTTTACATGTCTGCATATTGATGAAAGCAGTTAATGGTCAGCTTTACATGTTTGCATATTGATGAAAGCAGATTATGGTCAGCTTTACATGTCTGCATATTGATAAAAGCAGATTATGGTCAGCTTTACATGAAAGCAGTTTATGGTCAGCTTTACATGTCTGCATATTGATGAAAGCACTTTGTGGTCAGCTTTCTATGTCTTTATGTTGATGATTTTAGCAGTTTATGGTCAGCTTTCCATGTTTGCGTATTGATAAAAGCAGTTTCTGGTCATCTTTATATTCAACATATTCATAATGTTAGCAGTTTTTGGTCAACTTTATATGCCTACGTATGGGTGATGTTAGCAATTCATCGATGAGCAATATTTTCATGGCCTGAAAAGAGAGAATAGTGTTCATTTGCAACATGTTTCCATTTAAGACCCAGAAAACATGTAGTTGCTAAGCTTTTGATAAAGGAAACAAAAGATATTTTTAAGTGCCAAAATGTCCTCCTCCTATGAAACTTGAATGGTGTACTGGAAAAAATTCACAGATTTTTCAATGAAACGTGAGTTTTACAGAAAGATGAATGAGCCATGCCTGAATAGTATACTGGAAAGAATTCACTTCGGTTCAGTTGTTGAAGCTTTTATTGGAGTCAAACATTGATCAATGAGCCATGTTGGAATGTTATACCGAGAAGAATTTACTTTGGTTCAGCTGAAGTATACATGAGATTCACAGATGTTGAATTAACCCACTGACTACCGAGCCCATTAACCCTTGCACTTTCCCAGATACCACGTATTTTAGTGTGTACTAAAAATGCCATAACTTCACAACTATTGGACATAATCTCACAATATTTTGTGTTTTTGCACCAAATTGAAGAAGAAAAATATTGTTTATTTTGTTTTGCATCATCATTATGTGGCTGTAGATTGTAGCAAAAAAAGGCAGCAGAAAAATCTTTTATCTGACAACAATATAGACTAACTAAAGTGTCATATCTTCATAAATATTCATCAAACATTTACCAAATTTTGTATTTTTTGCACAAAATTGAATAGAGAACACATTTCAAAAAAAAATTAATTGGGTTGACTTTGTCTGACTGAACAAACATTTATCATATTTTGTATTTTTGCATCGAAAGAAAAAAAATATGGTGTTTACTTTGTGTGACATCATTATTATCGTGTGGCTGTAGACTGGTGCAAAAAAAAAAAAAGGCCACTGAAAAATATTTTGTCTGACAACAGTACAGACTAAAAAATGTCATAACTTCAAAACTGTTCAAGATAACTCATTTTATTTGATATTTTTGCACCAAATTAAAGATAACAAACATGGTGCAAACAAAGGCAACAGAAAAAGCTTTTATCTGACAGCAATACATAGACTAAATTTCATAACATTTAGAAAATGGTGTGCAATTCAGTATCGTTGCAACAACAACAGAAAATAAAGATAAATACCCCCGTGTGGGTTCCGGGGCCCCATTGTGGGGAAAACAAGAATAGACCCACTGCCTCCTCAAAAGCCTGTCGTAAGAGTCGACTAATTGGGGAGCTTCCTTTGAAGTCGGAGTGCATCTGCCGGAGAGGCAAGGAACCAACAGTCTGTATTCAAGAGAATGAGACCTGTAAAACTGATGCACACGCAACACTCAGGTTCTGGAGCAGGACTGCAGTTCAGTAGTGGACGAGCAACCAGAACTTTTTGCCAGAGTGTACAGCTGGGGAACGCGAAGAAGAAGATATATTCAACTTACATTTATCAAATTTTACAGTCAAAATTTGTCAGTGATATGGTACAGTTCAAATATATTTATCTTTTTGTACACACTGTGCACCTTCTGGGTTTTGAGTTTAAAGCTGTTGGTGAAATTGGAGAAGGGAAGTGTCTGTCTGTCAGACACTTCAAGGACCCTACACATTTTTTGGGAGCACAAGGTGTTGGTGCTCTCTTTTTGCTGAAATAACCCAGGGTGAGAGCTGTGCCCAGCTGTGAAATAACATTCTGCTACTTCAGAGGCTGCTTCCCATTTTGCAATAATAGTTTCTGATGCAGCATGTGACTCTGAATAACTGTGAGAGTAAACAAATGACAAAATAATTTCCGCCACTAGTCCAAAGAACAACGTCTAAGAGGAACATGAGCTAGCAACTGGTCACTGATTTGATGAGAGTTTGGAAAGAAATCTGGTCTAGAGAGTTAGAGGGTTCTGCTTCTTTTGCTTGCAGCTGCTTCAGCCAGAGACATTCCATACTCCTGTAGAAGTTTTCTGGTGTTATTGTTCAGTCATGTTCTTGGTCTACCTTGTTCTCTACTTACATCTCTCTCCTCTTTTTGTGTATGTTTTTAATGGTATGACATCGCAAGGCATTCTGTATGAGTGGGTAAACCACTTTATTGACATCTTTTATTTATTTTAATACTGGTTCTGTGCTAGACATTTTCTTCTTTCTTCATTCCTAATTTGTATCTCTTCTGTTCACTCCTGCAGCCTTTCTAAGACATCATGTTTCTGTGAATTGAGGAACTATACCCTATTGAAAGATGAAATGTAGAAGTAAAGAATAAAACACTATCATTAGGACTTGGTGGCATTACACAGTAGAACTTGTCAGTAGCGTGTGATAGGTGGTACTGTGGTATGTATATATCTATTGAGCCCTAACCAGAATTGATAAACCTATTCTCTTGATACAGCTCCAACAAGCAGAAGCAGAAGAAGTCCGGCAAAGGGAGGCTAATCTCACAGCTTTGGCAGCAATAGGACCTCGAAAAAAGAGAAAATTGGACTTTTCTGATTCTGCAAATTCAGTGGTGGGTTACATTTGTTTATTTAAAAAAAAAAAAAAAAACTTATTTAATCAGATTCTGAACATTATCAATCATAATTTTGTGTTAACATTCCAATTCTAGAAGTTACCTTTCATTGTTTTATGTTTACAGACAAAAATCTGTAAGTTATTTATTAATGTTATGTATTTACAGTCAAATTCTGAAAGTTATCAATCGTTCTTTTCTGTTAACAGTCAAATTCAAGTAACAGTGCATTAGCCTCAAGTGCCGCTTCTTCTGGTGTAAGTACTTAGCTAAGAACAGTTGGTTTTACAACTACACGAATCCTATGATGTACAATATGGAAATGGAAAACCACAGAGATTAGGGGGAGACTAGAAGAAGATGGACTGAAGGAGTCACACATAGCCTGTTGATAGGAGTACAGTTGGTCACTGGCTTCTGAGAGTTTAAGCTTCAGGAAGTGGAGAGATGTACTGGTACACACACACAGCAAATTGGGGCTGAGCGGTCTTGAGGTATGGCATTCGCCTCAAGTGCTGGAGGTCCCGGGTTCATACCCTGCTTAAGGCTGGGATTTTTTCACACAGACTTCTATTAATTTCTCCTGGTCTCTGGGTAGTAAGACTGGACACTCGTGTGTATTGTTGCACACGTAAAAAAAAAATCCCTTTTCAATTGGAAATCAAAAAGAGTAGCCTAACGGCGCTGCCTTTGCAAAATTTAGTGTTACATTACCCAAAGTATTTTAGAATCCTCGCCGGTGCAGCAGAGTTCGTGCACTGCGCTGAGATTCATTAGACTTAGACTTGAGTTTAAAGTAGAACAGATCACTTATGGGTTACACCCGTGTACCATGATGTTGATCCATTGAATAAACCTAAACAAAAATAAACAAAGTATACCAAACAACCGAGCGCACTCTGCTTAAACTGCAGTGCCTGGTGGCACAAAACAGATACTGACAAAGGCAGAAGAAACAACATCTATCCTTGGTCACTGACATGATGAATGTTAAGTTACATTTATCTTGAATGTTTAAAAACATTCTCCTTCATTCGGTTATTTATATTTTTTCCTACCAGGTTATTTTGTTGTTGTTGCTGCCTTTCCTTTCCCTTTACCTATATTATTATTGGTCATTTCCCTCCTCCTCCTTATACTTCTTTTCATCAGCTTTTTAATCTCCATTAAAGCTTATTACCTTAACCATGTCATGCCAAATATCCTTCTCCTTTGCTATCTCTTATAGTTTTTTTTCATGTCTTCCCATGTTACTTAGCTTTGGTTATAACTCTCATTCTTGGGCATTCTTCAGTATCTGAATGTCAAATAAAACTTGCATCATGTCGGAGAACCAATATAGTCAGGTCATATTAAATATTACAGCAGCTTAGAAGGAGCCCATTGGAAGGAGCAGTAATCAGATGAATCAGAAAGCGGCCAAAACCGCCACAAGATGATTACCATATTATAGACAGACCAGAGCAATTTATTATTCTACGCCTTAGAACAGGACACAGTCAGCTTCATAGCCACATGTATGCAGACTATAGGTTCCTTGCCTTTCAGGCAGACACACTTTGAAGGAAACATCCATGATTACCTGCCTTTTTCAACATGCTTATTGGGGGCAGTGGATCTATCCTCCCCCCCCCCCCCCCCCCTTTTCCAGTGGGTTTCCAGAAGCCATACAGGATAGAAATTCATTTTTAGTTATGCTGTTATATGATTTCCTCAGTATGTGTTTTTGTTGCTGATTGTCAACATGTAGCAGGTATTTGCAGAAAATGGCTCTGAGAATCTTTAGATCATCTTCGCTGTGATTTGAGAAAAAACATTAGGTAGTCACATTTGGCCATGTGCGGGGTGGGAGGGGGGGGGGGGGGGGGGGGCAGTAAGTCTATCCTTTTTTTTACTAGTATCTCTGTTTATATTTTTATTTGTATTTTTTATAATTGTCTTCTAATATATTATTGTGTTGATTTCAGGTGTTGCGCCCACGAACCAAAAGAGTTAATATGCGGGATCTTCAGCTTTTGTTAGAGCTGGAGCGTCCCACCAGAAAGTCTGATCTCCTGTACAAGACATTCTTGAAATGAACTGGGCTTGGGTTTCTGCATTATTTCTTTGGGAGTCTGCTTCAGATGTTCAGCGGCACCAGACAGTGATCTCATAGGATACTGGAAAGAATTCACTTCAATGAGTGAAGCACTTGTGAGATTCACACAGATTGTTCAGCCATGCCTGAATGGCATACTGGAAAGAATTCACTTCAATGAGTGAAGCACTTGTGAGATTCACACAGATTGTTCAACCATGCCTGAATGGCATACTGGAAAGAATTCACTTCAATGAGTGAAGCACTTGTGAGATTCACACAGATTGTTCAGCCATGCCTGAATGGCATACTGGAAAGAATTCACTTGAATCAGTGAAGCCCTTGTGAGATTGGGGAGCTATACCTGAGTGGTATACTGGGAAGAACTCACATCAGTTTAGTTGGTGAATCACTCATAAAGTTCACACAGTATGAGCCATATCCGAATGGTGGAATGCAAATAATTTGGTTCAGTTGATCAACCGCTCATGAAATTCGCAGATCGGTGAGCCATGCTCGAATGGTGTAATGCAAATAATTTGGTTCAGCTGATCAACTGCTCATGAAATTCGCAGATAGGTGAGCCATGCCCGAATGGTTTGCTGGAAAGAATTCACAGTTCCAATTCATTCAGTGAAACACTCATGAGATTCACAGATAGATGAATGAGCAATGCCTGAATGGTACACTCAAAAGAATTTATATCATTTCAGTTGATAAAGTATTTTTGAGATTCACTGATAAATTAATACACCATACCTCAGTGGTATACTGGACAAAATTCCCTTCAGGTCAATATATGAAGCACTAATCAGATTCACACAATGATTGTTGTGCCATGCCTGAATAATATCCTGGAAAAATTTGCTTCAGGTCAGTTGTTGAAGCACTTATCAGATTTACACAATGATTGATGTGCCATGCCTGAAAATATACTGGAAAGAGTTCATTTCAGGTGAAATATTTATGGAATTCACAGGTAGATCAATAAACGAAACCTGAATGCTATACTGGGAAAAAATTCACTTCAGTTGAGTTGGCAAAGCAGTAATAAAATTCACACATGAATTCATATTGGCAGAATTGAAGGGCCAGCCCCCCCCCCCCCCCCCCCCCTTCCCAAAAAAAAAAGTGTGTAAAGCACTTCTTGGTAGCGTGCCGACCACACAGTGCTGTTTGGTGGTCTTAGGGGTGCCATTTGTGCCGGATGTTGAGTCTCCTTCTCTAGTCTAGTGGTGCCTTTGAGGGTCAGGTTTTGAACTGTTAGGACCTTGGTATATGATACGAAGATGCTGGTATTTATGGTCTAGTATATTCTGTCTATTCATCATTTGCATTGTCCATCTTTGCCTCTGCTTCCATTATGTCTGAGTGACAGGGCTCTCTATGGGGCACTGTCAGGTGGTAGACTTGACACATGTCCAAACCATTTGATCTGTTGTCTCTTTATAGTTGAGCTGTTAAGAGTACATACCAAAAACTAAATGACACAATGCAAAATATCCCTCAACAGAGCTCAAGGAAAGACAAGTTTCAGGTAGATGTTTTGACATCTTTCTTCTTTTTGTTATCTGCTCTTTATCCCCAATGGAGCATAAGCATTAAATCAGCTGACATCAAGTCGTTCTTTCAATTGCTATTGCGTGTAGCGACGCAGTGTCCTTGCCATCTTTTTCGCTCCACTCCCTAATTCCCTTCTCAGACAGAAAGAGAGAGGGAGTGTACGCACATACACGCTCATCTGCAGATCTGAAGATAGTGGGTTCAGTTTCCTGTGGAGCGGGGCATTTTCTTTTCAGGAATGATCTTGGCTCCCAGGACGACCCAGCATTAAATGGGTACTAGGTAAAGTCCAGAGAAGTAAAAGGGACCTTATGATACTGACCACATCACCCACCAAATGCAGATTGGTCTGTAAAATACAGGTCTAGCCCTATATGCCCAATACTCCTGAAGGCATGGAAACAGGTCCTTTACTCACTTGGGGGGGGGGGGGGGGGGGTGTCCTTTACTTAATTTGTTTCCAATAATCCTGAGGATTCAAGTGTAAGGTTGTGTTCTAGTTATATTTTTAATCAAGTTTTTATTCCCCCTGTTTGTGTCCTATCTAAATACAGTCGAGTCTGGATAACTAGAAGTTGCAGGGACCTAAGACAATGCTTCCACTTATCAGGACTTCTACTTATCCAGACAGCACACACAATAGAGAAAATTTGTGGAACTAAGCTGGTCATGTCGACTTGACCGAAATTCGACTTATCCTAGTTTGACTTAAGTGGACTCGACTGTAGTCTTTTTAAATGAAACAATAACAAGAATCCTACAACAAAAATATGAATGAGAGTAACATCATGGACAGGTAATGCACATGAGTTGAGCCCAGTCTAAAGCTGACATCACAGCACTCTGGACTGGACATATTTGATGCTATGTTCATGTAGCTTTTGGTATCTGCTTGACTGCAGTTTCCCCCCCCCCCCCCCCCCCCCCGCCCCCTTTCCAAGCTCTGCATCAGACACAGTCTGAAATATTGTCAGGAAATATTTCAGGATCCTCGCCGGTGCTACGCCAAGCTAATTCGGACTCAAGACTTGAGTTGGCAGTAGAACGGAGCACTTATGGGTTGCCACCCTTGTGCCATGATGTTGATCCGTTTTTCAAACCTCTGCTGATGTATTGGGGAGCTTCGAAGTAACACTTGCAATTTTTGCCTGCAATAATACATAATTGAAGGAAATGCATTATGCACTGCTGACTTAAAATGACTTCCCTTGAGTCAGTGTTTCCGAAACTTTTTTTGGTCGTGGCGCCTTTTTTCAATTAAAATTGTTCCATGGCGCCCTAGCCTAAGTAACAGTATGACTATTCATGTCTTGGTTAAATTAATTATAAAGCTTTTACTATATTTCATGGCGCCCCTGTGAAAAGGTCACGACTCCCCGGGGCGCCGCGGTACATAGTTTGGGAATCACTGCCTTGAGGGAAGGTTTGGCCAACAGTCTGTTGGCTTGCTGTGACCGTTGTACAGTGTTGATTACAATAGATAGATCTGAAGCTGCTCCTTCATTGTGTGTGGGGGAATGTGTTCTGTTTAATCACCAGGTTGTTAAAGAGAAGGATGTATTTGGGATGTTTTAGTGAGGTTGCTGTAATCTTCTGTAGAGAGAGCACAGCTAGTGGCTTCACTCAGTCATGTAATTTGTAGAGGTATCTTTGGACAGATGCTGCACTGAAGGACTGAGCACATATGGGAATACTCACTGTGCAGTGACAACAGTTTTAACATAATAGAACTGGTCGGTCAAGTGCCTTCTCCACAATTTAGGTTAGCTGTAATGGATCCACAACAGTTTGCCCTGGTTGTACACTACTGCCCTTTATCCATCTCATGTCAAAATATTATCCACCCATTTGTTTTGCTGTCTGCCTCTTGCATGCCTGCCTTAAACTTGTCCCTGCTGCATATTTTTTTTTAAACAAAAAAGTCTTGCCTCTAAGTGTGGCCACTCATAATGTGCTCAGGTAAAATAGATTATTTACTTATTTATGTAGATGTTTAGTAGATATTCAGTTCTCTTTATTTACTTCACATATGGGTAGTCAGTTCTCTTTTCTTACTTTCATGAAGGTAATATATTATTTTTACTTACTTCTTATTAGGTAATAATTTCTCTGTAGAAGTTAATCTCTCTCAAAACATGGTTCTTATTTTCCCCTTTGTCACTGGTGTTTTCATAACTCTTCTATAAAACCATGTTATAAATAGTCTACAGTGCATTATTTTTATCAACTTTACAGTTAAAATACACTTCTTATGTTTCAAAGAATTTATCTGTTGACCCATCTGCTTCTTGTGTGTAAACTGTTGACCCATCTGCTTCTTGTGTGTAAACTGTTGACCCATCTGCTTTTTGTGTGTAAACTGTTGACCCATCTGCTTCTTGTATGTAAACTGTTGACCCATCTGCTTCTTGTATGTAAACTGTTGACCTGTCTGCTTCTTGTGTGTAAATTGTTGACCCATCTGCTTCTTGTATGTAAACTGTTGACCTGCTTATTTTATGTAAACTGTTGACCTGTCTGCTCCTTGTATGTAAACTGTTAACCTATCTGCTTCTTGTATGTAAACTGTTGACCTATCTGCTTCTTTTATGTAAACTGTTGACCCATCTGCTTCTTGTATGTAAACTGATGACCCATCTGCTTCTTGTATGTAAACTGTTGACCTATCTGCTTCTTGTGTGTAAACTGTTGACCCAAATGCTTCTTTTATGTAAACTGTTGACCCATCTGCTTCTTTTATGTAAACTGTTGACCCATCTGCTTCTTGTGTGTAAACTGTTGACCCATCTGCTTCTTGTGTGTAAACTGTTGACCCATCTGCTTCTTTTATGTAAACTGTTGACCTATCTGCTTCTTGTGTGTAAACAGTTTACCCAAATGCTTCTTTTATGTAAACTGTTGACCCATCTGCTTCTTGTGTGTAAACTGTTGACCCATCTGCTTCTTGTGTGTAAACTGTTGACCCATCTGCTTCTTTTATGTAAACTGTTGACCCATCTGCTTCTTGTATGTAAACTGTTGACCTGCTTCTTTTATGTAAACTGTTAACCTGTCTGCTTCTTGTATGTAAACTGTTGACCTATCTGCTTCTTGTATGTAAATTGTTGACCCATCTGCTTCTTGTATGTAAACTGTTGACCTGCTTCTTTTATGTAAACTGTTGACCTGTCTGCTTCTTGTATGTAAACTGTTGACCTATCTGCTTCTTGTATGTAAACTGTTGACCTATCTGCTTCTTGTATGTAAATTGTTGACCCATCTGCTTCTTGTATGTAAACTGTTGACCCATTTGCTTCTTGTATGTAAACTGTTGACCCATCTGCTTCTTGTGTGTAAACTGTTGACCCATCTGCTTCTTGTATGTAAACTGTTGACCCATCTGCTTCTTGTATGTAAACTGTTGACCTATCTGCTTCTTGTATGTAAACTGTTGACCTA